TGGGTTTTCCGTGTGTTAATCTAATGATTTAGTCATGTGAGTCAGCTGAGTGAACTGTAGCTGAGATGCATTTTAGGTGTTAGCAAGTGAGCTTGCTAACAGAGTTGGCAGGTTCGTGCTGATGTACAAACCAAGGTTAATGGGCAAAGAGAGATTTTTGGTTCCTCCTAGTGACCTCAAACTGAGAAAGCCTGTAAAAAATTGTAAGACCTAAGAGTTTAGGGAGAGTGTACTGATGCTGAAACTTTAGGTCAGCAAAGACTCTCTGGATCATGTGCCTAGATACCTATGCTGAACCAAGGAGACACAGTTTTGTGGTGGTTTTGGGGAGAGGGTACTGGTGAGTGTCTGTCCAGCTGCGTGAAAGGCACTGAGATGACTGACAGGCTCTAAATGAATACAGGGATGAAAAAGCCTTCCATCTCCCGCCTGCCAATTTTGGTTCAGCAGAGATGAGGAAGGACTGAAATTGCCATCATCTTCCTGGTGATGGATGAGAAGTGAATCTGTGATCTCAGCATATTTCCTACTAGTATGTCTCTCCTTCAGCCCCCTTGCTTCTGCTGTGAATGATACTAACAGGGTCTCTTATCGGAAACTGCCAGCCCAAGGGAACAAGGGGAATAGACCGTGAACGTTTCTCAGCGTATTTCCTGCTAGTATGTCTCCCCATCAGCCCCCTTGCTTCTGCCACGAATGATACTAACAGCATCTCTTATCGAAAACTGCCAGCCCGAGGGAACAAGGGGAATAGACCGTGAACGTTGAGGTACCCTTTCAGTGCTGGGGTTTTCTTTGAGGCAAGCTGTAATGCTGCCTGTATGATATGCTGGTCCTGTTCACGATGTACCTTGGTCTGTCCTGTAGACAAAAGCTCTGACTCCAAAGCTGCTCAGCTGGCACCTCTCATCAGCACTGGTTTTTGCTTTGTTTTCTGAGCAGGAGGTGTCTGTAATTCTTACACTTGAAATCTTTAGGACACTTTGTGCCTGTGCTGGGTCCTGCGTTATTACCCAGATCTTTTGGTCTGCCTTGGAAGACTGGCTGCCTCACTCGATTTTCTTCCCTTGGTTTTTGTTTTGTTTTGTTTTTAATTTTGCCCAGCCTCTCCATGCTCTTAGGGCACACATTGTTCAGATGATAATCATTTGTGCTCAGCCAGGGCATTAGACTGGATTTTGTTACTGCCTGCTGTATTAAGTCCTGAAACTTTGCGGTAACGTGTGGAAGCACCCAGAGGGAGTGGCCAACTTCATTAATGCAAGTTTTGCAGAGAGTGTGTGTGACTGAAGCAAAACTTCATGGAACTGAAGCAGCTCTCAGCTCCTCCTCGGTGAAGCAGTTTATAGGGTCAGAGCCAGAAGGTCACAGCTATTCACCCGTTATTACTTCCTGAGCATTATTGTTATTTGTCCCTGAACAGGAGCTACAGGAGGCATAGCCGCATACTATAAAGCAGGTAGATGGTTCCTGGGATCTGTAAGGAGAGTACTGATGTTAAATTCAATCCTGTTTCATCCCTGGGAAGAAGCGAGCACACCTGAATGTTGACATCATTGGAAGGGTATTTGGATGGCATCTGTGAAATGTGTTTGGTTGGTTTCAGATCAGTTCCTGGTGTGGTTTGTCCTCTGCCACCTTTGGGTCCTGTAAAGAGACCAGAGATGTGCTTGGCTCAGAGAAGCTGACCTTGCCCTAGGTCAATTGTGAGGCTTGTTGAGGTGTTCTGTACAGGCACAGCTCCCTTTTCTGTGGTTTACACTATACTCGGACCCTGCGAAAGAGAGTAACTGTATTTCCTAAAATACAGACTGCTTTGGAATACCCATCTGGACACTCGGTGCAAGTACCTCCCAAGTCCCGGATCCCCTTGGAAAAGGACCTGGTGCTTTTAGAGTAGGGTTCTTCAAGCTCTCTCCAGCTGGGGCCTCATAAGGTGGGGGCACCCCAAGTGTCTGTCTTGGTAGTGCTGAAATCCTTGGTCTTGGTTCTTCTGCAAAACCCTGTATGGGATGTCTTGTGAGTGGGGTAACAGGTGGCCCTTCTTTCTGGAGTTTCTTGTCCAGCACTGCCATGCTCCTGAGGGTGAGGTTCTTGGAGAGAAGGATCCTTTCTGTGTACCCACAGATATGCTAGCTCTTAACTGGTTTTACTGGGAGCTGGGTGGCAGCTGACCCACATCAAGATAATTATATATAACGAGAACATACCAGCACCTGGTTTTGAACATTATACAATATGTAGTGCGCTGCTTCTGATGTCTGAGCCTCACCGGTACAGTCTGTGTGGATCTTCAACAATCCAATAAAAGCTAATTGAGGAGGAAGAGGTTTGCCGTAGTTTGTAAGTAAGCTGAGGTTGTTCAGCCTGGCCTGGGAAAACTGGTTGCACAAAATCAGGGGCTTTTAAGGGCTAAGGTAGCACAAAGCCTTTTGTTGCTTATAGCAAGTGAGCAGGAGTTGGGCGAGGACAGCCTTCGCCTGTATCAGTGTGTGCTGCCAGGGCGGATCGCTGCCTCAACCCCGGGGAGGACACGTTGCTCCAGCCCAGGTAGCGCAGGGAGCGGTGGGAGTTGACGCCGCTCTGCTAAACCTGCCCCATCGCGGCAGTTCTGTGGTGGCAGCAGTTCTGTGGGTGTCCGTGGCCGAGGCTGGACCCAGAGTTACTGCCCGCAAAGGGGCAGACTCCGCTGCACTGGGCCTTTTTCTTTGCTCTTGACACAGCTCATCGCACACGCCAAGGGTTGTTCCTGGGCCCTTGCGGGCCAGCCACCCTCGGCCAGACTGGGAACAGAAACCCAGAAGTGCCAGCGCTCAGAGCTGTAAAACTGGTAGCTGCCGTGTGTTTGTGCAGACACAGCCTTACAGGTTCTTGTCCTTAAATGTGTGTGTGTGTGTGCTCTCTCTCTGCTTTATATTTTATTAGTACTTTTGTGTGTCTCTGACCTTGAAATGTAGGTGTCCTATATCAACAAGGGGGATAAAATCCACTTTTAATGGCTACAATTACAGTTAACTGTGGTCGAGCCAATCTGGCAGAAAGAACAGGTTCAAACTGGCAGTTTGTAGGGAAAGGACCTATTAGGCAGTAGGGAAGGCCATGCCTTCCTGAGGAGAATAGCTTTTACATAGGCAATACAGCATAGATTAAAAAAAATTAATAATCTTGAAAGCAATGCAAATTTTAAATTAGGTTGATGAGATGTCACATCTTCCCCCCTCCCTGAGCTTTTGACCAGCCACTTACTTACTTTGCATAGCAACAGACTACTAAAGCAAAACAAAAT